CCCCAGGTGCTCTGGTTTCCCCAGCCACTAAAATTATGTACAATGCGTATGAATATAATGAGGGAGAGAATGGTTGTTTTTGATTGGGAACTTTGATGCGCCAGTGTTTTCGGTGTCTCGCTGTAGTCATTTCCATGTGTGGAGAGAATGGAACAATATTTGAACTCTGAACATTGTAAAGCGCTTTGGGTGACCTTGGTCTGTAAAAAATGTGCTATATAAATAAAGATTAGTTACATTGACTTTGTTTGAATACAATCACTTCTAATTACTTTCCACAGACCCTGCATTTCTCGCAGTGTGTCCTGTCGTAGATTAACCACTCAGAGACGAGATTGTGGCCCACCAGAGCTCCTGGAAGTTTATTCAGTTTCCTTCAGGTTTCAGTTTTTTCAGTTATTTTTCAGACAGAACAGAGTCAGGACATGGTTTTTATTGTCATTGTTACATCACAGATACGTCACACATAGAAAGACACATACGTATCGTATCCAGAGACAATCAGAACATATTATACAGAACATGGATACAGAATGGGACCTTGTGACTGTGAGGGCCAGATATGTTGTCTTGTGTTTGTCCACCTGCGTAGGCCATAGCTATCTATTCACCATAAGTGCTCGCAGTGCTTCCAAAAAGTTTAAAAAGATCCCGTCTCGCCACCACAAGGACACAGAGACTTCCTGAGAGACTAATTGATACTCTCTGAAGATTTTTGTCTAATTGAAAATGAGTGATAAACTTAGTTAATAGTTGAATAGAAATAGACCCTTGATAAAAAAACACTTTCACCTCTTAAAAAAACCCAATGTTTTTAGAACAATCTAAAGCACAATTTGTCATAAGCTGCCCATTCATTAGCTCTTTATCCACAACGGAGGTCGGGCACACAGAAATTCAATTCAATTTATTTTTGTATCGTCCTAAATCACATCAGTAGTTTTCTCAGAGGACTTAACAAAGTTGTCGATTAACACAGATACGAGAATCAAAAAGTTCAAATCCAAGAAATGCAACAATATAAAGTAAGCCAGTAAGTAATCTTTATTTACTGTATATACCACCTTTCACAGACCTGAGTGACAAAGCGGTTTACAATTGTGGGCATTTATCTCTCACTCCACACAGAGATGGGAGCGTGGTACCAGTACAGGAGGCACATGCCAGACCTATTGTACAATAAATAAAGGAAGTTGTCCCTCATTGCTTTGGACCTTTTCAAAAAACATGAATGTTGCTATACGTCACTATCTTCTATAACTTACCACATGAATTTACAACTCTGTCCTTGGAGCTTATGAGTTTAATCTTGAAAACCAATTGCACTGATTGGAATTGAATACACCCAAACCCTGACATATCACAATATAACAGCAATTCTGCTCATTATTTGCAAAAAATGTCTGCATTCAGTTACATTTTTACCCAAACCACTTGTATGATATTTTGAAGTACAAAAGGGTAAAATTATGTTTTGTATTATATTTTCAAAATAAGTTCCTAACTTATTTTTACCTTTCATGTGTGTTTTTTGGTTTGGTTGGATCACAACAAGATGAGTAATACATTGTTAGAGTTTGTGGTTGTAGAAATGTGTGTTTAAAATATAATGAATCGGGCATAGTAATGTTTATATAATTTAATATGTAGGGAATTTATAAGTATCTGTTCTATTTGTAATTGATTAAACCTAATTCATTTGAATAGATAAGTTATTTAAATCTTTGGGCACCCTTTTTTAGAAGACAAAAGGTTTTATTGATTACATCACTTCAGTCTCATTTTCTGAAGGTGTGTGTTCTAAAACGGCAGTCTTTACTAAGATTGTCAAAACATGCGCTGCAAAAGCTTTGTTGACTGTGATTTATTCACCAAGGAAAATGTAATCAAATCACATTAATGCAGTAGTTCAATTCCGTAATTACAGTACACTTAAATATAATATTCTAGGCCAGAGTTTGAGTGGTCGATTAGGCCCAAAACGAGTCCGTAAGCTCAGTCCAACCGTTAGCATAGCATCAACCACGGGAAAGGAGCGGTCTTACTTTTTGTTCTTTACGTTTTGTTGTAGAGAGTCCGAAGTGCACACTTTTGCGCGCTGTGCGTTTCGTTCCGCGTGAGATCCAGTGGTGACAAGGCCAGGATAAGAGAGTTCTTCCTCTTTGTTTAAAGACGGAGGCGTGAGACTTTTTGGAGGCTGTCCGGCAGTCCTCGCTGGAAGATGTCAGGAAGTCAAGAGGGCTAGGTAACGTCCACATTGCTCTGATGCAAAGTGCAGCAGTTCAGTGGGTAACATGTGTGCGTGTGTGTGTTCTAGCGATTAAATAAAGACTTATTCTTGAATGTCTGAACCGGGGACTTATATAAAGGGTTTAACACATAAGGAGAATACAAAAGTGCAGGAGAGACGTCTTTGAAAATGTGGCCCCAGTCTGCAACCGTGCTTGAGCACACTTGGAGCAAACGTACCAAAGCCCAGTTGTCGCGGTCACAAGGCACCTAAAGTCTGGATCAAATCGCGAAGTGGGCCCTGACCCACTTAAACTGGGCTTTAGGCTGCGCATGTGACCGCAGCCTTAGAATTCCATAGCCTCTGTGTACACGGTCCGCTACAAATGTATTGTATCGCATGTACATTTGCTATGGGTATGTAGAGTTAAGCTGTATGTTGTTGGTTGAGTAACATCACTCATTTGACCATACGCCAAGGTCAGGAGCACACAGCCAGTGTTACAGATCAACTTGGGAACAGATCAACATGGTAACCTTGATAAGGAAGTAGCAAACTTGCATTCTGTGTGAAAAACATGCCTCATTGACACCTCAGTGCTCCACTCTACAGCACGTTTTTCCGTTGAGCTTGAAGAAGCAAAACCCTGATTTCCAGGGGTACTTTCACAGATAAATACATCCGGAGTTCAAGTTGAGAATTATGTTTTTATTTGTTTGTGTGAATAGATGTGTTTCTTCTGATGGGCACCTGAATGTCTCCAACAAGGATCAATAAAGTACCTACCTACCTGTTTTTCAAGTTAATCCAAGCACACCAGTACGTTTATAGAGTGCTCCATTCACAATAGAGCAGTAGGGGGCAGTGTAACATCGGATGTGGAAACATCTGGCGGAAAACACCCATATTCTCTCACAGGTTGTCAATTGCTATTAAAGAAAACTAAAAAAGAGATGTAACCAAGTTTTTTCCTGTTTCTGCGCAATCCTGGAATTCCAAAATATTTATATTTTGTATGTGTTTATTTGCAGTAGAAATTCTGAATCTCCATAAAGGTATAATTTTTTATTTAATAATGTTTTAAAGTTTAGTTTAGTATTGTTAAGGCAACAAAGGTTTACAGCTGTAGTCTGTGATCAGTTGTTTATGTGAATAAAAAATAACATACACAAGTCATTTTATGTGTGATGTGTCGGTGGATAGATAACTGGCCAAATTTGACAAGAGACTAAAACCAGATAAAATATATATAAACTAAAATAACATCTCAAAGTTCATAAATGAGCCTTAATTGCCTTTCTACAGACAAACCAAAAACAAACCAAAACTTCTCATTTCCTTTAATGTTTTATATATTTTCAATTCCATTGTTAAATTCAAATGCCTTGTGTTTTAGACATCAATAGCATAAAATATATACTTGTCATTCAAATAAGAATAGCGGACAAATAGCAGAAAACTAAAATAAATGAGATAAAAAAGATGAGTGTTTTTTCATATTGGCTCTGAGTCTGAATGCGTCAAGGTAGTTTTATTTATACCCTGTTGTCTCTCATGAGCTTATTGTGCTAATGAGGTGTTACCAAACTCCTTTCCGTAAATGGGGTTTGGGAGGTAATTTGCATGTTTGTGTATCTGCACTCGTACAGGCATGAAGGCCAAATGCAAATATGAAATCATGTTTCAATGCCAAGTTCACAAGCTCTAACTTTAGTCTGCAGCAGTCATTAATTACACAGAGCCGATCAGAGGAGAGAGTACATATGGGTCACACTCTGCATCGGGACAAATGGCGGGAACAATTCCCTGTATCATCATGAATTCCTTTTATTTTTAAAGAAGTATATATATAAGAAATATCACACATTGTTCTGGGCATTAAACATGACAATGAGACCATTTTTATTGTCTTATCTGATCACGTAATACATATGCACAATACAAATGTTAGAAACACTTTCATAGCATAGAATACATTTATATACTGCAGATATATACAGCTCTAATTTAGATTTATTTAACAGTGGTCATCTACAAGGACTTCACTAACTGTCAATAATAGATAGAGAATAAAACAATTAACAAAGGAAATACGATCATAAAAAAATCATTAGAGCCATTGGTTAATTGGTGTCCTACTGTATGTCCATAAATGTGAGTAAATATAGAATTAAAGCTCATTAGGTTTGAAGTGAACATTCGAACCCTAACTACACTAGTTTGATTCATGGATTAGTCGATACTTCTATCAAGTTTAAAATCATAATAAAATAAAATCACAAATGAACAACAGTGCGAGTGTGAACTGCTTGTGTAGGATCAAATAAGGATACAAATTGTTGATGGGGGAACACGTTCTGTTCTTTGTACAAGGGAAAGCCATTATGGGAGGATTCTGAGGGGGGACATGTTCTTTGTCTCGGGGCGGGTGAGAATGGACTCTCAGGACACTGTTTATTACAGTAAGAATGAGTACTGAACTACTACCATGGATTGGGTAGGAAAAAATGCATTTAAAGTGTTGAAGTAATATTTAATGTCCAGTATTTGCAAAACATAAAGCTCATAGTTTTACATCTTGTTGAGTCGTAAGGGGGAAAAAGCTGTTCAACATAATAAATTATTTGAACCTTCAAACTATCACAATACTTTCAAATCAGAGCTTAGGAGTGTATCAAATGTGAATAAAAATGCTATCTGATGTGTTAACCGAAAAACATGGAAACATGAAAAATACTTCTGTTGACCTTTTCATGCTTATCTTTTTCAGGCCTGGAAAAGGTTGGTCGTGATTCCAGTTACGAACAGGAGGGGAAGGTGCAGTTTGTGATGGATGCTGTTTACGCTATGGCCCATGCTCTGCACCGGATGCACCGTGAGCTCTGTTACGGCTACCCTGGTCTGTGTCCACGCATGGCCAGCAATATCGAAGGCAAAGAACTGCTCAACCACATCAGGGCTGTTCGATTTAATGGTAAGCTTTTACCTTTTTTTTTAAAGTTTCAGTCTGTTGAAAAAGTTTACATACTCCCATGAACTTCTCTACATTTTGAGTGGTTTAAAACTAACACTGCTCATATCTGTAATCGCACCATCCCCACTATCAAACATAGTGGGGGCAGAATCATGCTGCGGGTCAACTTTTTTTCCGCAGGGACAGTGTCAGTTGATGGGAATGTGAACAGAGAAAATAAAGGACAATCTTGGAAGAACACATGTTGGAGTCTACAAAATACTTGAGGAATGAGATGGGGGTTTATTTCACAGGACCATTTCCCTAAGCATAAAGTCTTTTCATTGAAAGGAATGGATTGGAATGGTTTAAAACAAAACATATTTATGGGTTGGAACCACCAAGTCAATATCCAGACCTAGAATCTGTAACAATACCTTAAAACTGCTGTTGACAAAAGTTCTGCACCTAATCTGACGTAGCTCCAGCCTGGCCATAGCCATCCGTACACTCCGCTCAATCATCATTTCACTGCATGTAACGTCTGGGTCTGGTCCCTGTGTTAGCGAATACAATCGGTCGTATTTCGACTGGCTCAGAGAGCGCGGTAGGCAGGTGTTGTATGAAATTTAATTTGTACTAAGGTGTGGTACAACCAGGCTAACATAGCTCGAGCCTTTACACATTGGTGGTAAATCGGGACAGTTTCTAGTTGTGCAAAGTTGTGCATAAAGAGACACATCATAAAAGTCTCAAAGCTGTGACGGTGAGAAAAGGCAGCTCCACAACGTCACACATTTTTCTCAGTAAAAAACTAAATCATTTATCATTTTGCAATCACTTCACATTTGGTTTTCCGTTCGCTATTGCCACTTTTGATTGGCCTCAGAAGTCTTCCAGACAATAAGTCAGTTTACATTTCTCTATATTTCTGGCCGTGACAAAACAAAAAGTTAAAAACTGTGGGGTATGAATACTTCTTCAAGGCACTGTATACGCTCTTAATATTTCAATCAATGGGATCATAAAACTATTATTTGCCTATTGGTGTGCAATGAAATCTAGCCTCCACTGTTGCAGCACTCAGATCATTGGCCTTAGAAGAAATTGATTCTTTATGATTTCATTTGATAAAAATCTATTGTTTTCTGTCGTCATCTACATCGCAGAGAACTGCCAAAGAAATTCTTGAAAAGCAGAAAAAGAGAAAACAGTTTTCTGAACCTATACAAACAGACAACAGGATCATATGGTTGGAAATAATAAATATAGTGGATTGGATTCAAAATTATTTCCAGAATGAACAATTAAATTTTAAAGAGTATACATTCCCTTTGTCTTTATGGAGGTGTCAAACAAATATGATGACAACACAAAGCCGAGTTATAGTTTAGGGGCCAGTCTCCCAAAAGGTGTATTTCAAGCCCATAAAAAAGGAATATATATCAGCATAAATTAGTTGAATTATACTCAAGAGAAAAGTGTATCACCCAAATGTCCTCAACTTTGTACCCGTCAGACATTTCAATTAAAGTATGTTTTACTCATTTATTATTCTTTTTGGAATATTGCATTGCTTTCTTTTCTATCCCTCAAAAAAACACAACCTCTACATGATACCTATTACAAAATTAAGTTAAAACCCTGATTGTGTTTTTTTGTAGTAAGGCGAAATCATAGGGTCTGAGCACACACACACACACACACACACAAACCTACAGTATGTCTCTTTCGCTCCTCCGCTAGGTTCATACACAGAAGTCAATGAGCTCTCGTCTCGGACACTATCTGTGATTTGTGAGAATCTGAACGCATGGGTCTATTGTTCTGTACAGTGAGGCCACTAGTATTGCTTTAATGGCTTCCTCAGTTGCTATGGCGCCGTGGCCTGTCTTCTCCCCGCTATGGAAAAGTGCGTAAAGTCCAGCTCCAGACAGCCTTCTTCCCTCTGTCCTTCCCCCCTCTCGATCAGTGATGACAATCTCAAGTCTTCTAGTTGGTTAAACCCATAGAATGATTTAATTAAACACAAAATTTGTAGCTGCAGTAAAAATATTCAATAATCTTGATTTGTCTTAAGGGCCTTAAAGAGATTTCTGGACAAAAGTACTAAGTAATAAAATGCTGGAGGACCCACTATTTTAAATGTATATGTAATTGTCTATTCTATCCTAAGGAATGGATAATATGACCTTGATGTTGGCTAATACATTTATTTCTTATCACACACCACATACTATTTAATGCTAATCTTATTCCACCTTCATTGTTTCCTCATGATCCTGATGGTTCTTTGTAGCGGCGTAATATTGCGGACCGTCTCTTACAGTCTATAGTTAATTTACCATTTATTTTCACGACATCTTCGGCTTCTGACAATTTTAAGTGGCTGGAAAACATTTGCTCATTTCCTCCTAAATACTATCAGACACTTCATTAAAATATTCTCACATTAATCTGCCTCTCCGTGGATGTTCAACCTGCTGCAGCTCCGCTTTTCATTTCCTGTCTTTTTCTGTCGGACGTGGAGTTGAATACTTATACTGTCTGCCTGTGTATGAACTCGCCAAGACAAAAAGGGGGAGATAGATAGAGAGAAAGAAGTCGTGAGCTGTGAGGATCAGAGAAGTTTTATAATGTAATGTTGGAGAATGTTTAATGCTCTGCAGAAGGTTGAGACATTTATTCACTCCATGAAAAATTGAGCAAGCTCGTTGACCTTAGTCATGTCCTCATGGGTAGTAGTGGTAGAAATGACACAAGATAGATATAATAAAATAACCAAGTGTCATGTGGACAGGTGAATGAAGGACTCAAGATGCCAAAAATATAAAAAATTAAATTATGAAAAAACAAAAGTCCAAGGTAACAAAACATCCGAAAATCCATAAACGAGACCAGGAACAAAGACCATACAGGACAGATATCGACAAGACAAAACAATGAACCAGCAACAAGGGGAGAGGAGCACAGGGTACATACCTGTATTGACCCCTTGCATGTGACGTCCCGGCCACGCCCACTCTCCATGACAGACGGCAGAAGTCTAACTGCGAGCCTACGGACACCTGACCAAAACAACCTGTTTCAGTGCATTACAGCCAAAACTGACATTTTGCAGTGCGGTTGATTATACTAACAGGCAAGGGCATACGCTTTTTTATCCGATACCTGCTCGTCATGAAGACAGAAGACGACGATGGCCAGCGGCAATCAACCAAAAGGACTGGGACCCATCCAAGTACTCCCTAATATGCAGTGAGCACTTTTTACAAGATAAAATAAATACAAACTTGTGATTGCTTTTATTCCATTAATGTGGAGGATGACACACGTCAAACGTGTCTCTTACTACTGTCCTGTATGTGCGCTGCAACATTGACATTTTTAAGTCAATTGCGTGTTTCACTATTTTCCTCTCCGTCAGTACGTATCATGTTTGGCTGTAGACAGAAAAGCCACAGAAAAGTGGACTATTGCTAATGCTACCAGCAAAATGTACATATAAATCTTGTCATGGTGTGGATTTTATTTTGGACTTTAGCTTTTATTTTGATATCTGTTCTGTGCTTTGGTTTTAGTTTGACTTTGACGTCCTGTTTCCCCAGTCTTGATTGTCTGCCCTGCCCTAATGTGTATCTGTATCTGTCTATAATTACCCTGTGCCCCATCTCGTCTTGTTGCTGGTCCATTGTATTGTCAACTTCTGTTCCGTCCTGTTCCTGGTTCTGTGTTTTGGATTTTGAGTTATGTTTTCACCTGGATTTTTATTTTATTAAATCATTATTCTTTTGCATTCCTACATTTGAGTCCTCCATCATCTCACCACGTGACAAATCTGCTCCAGTGTAAGGGGATGCATTGTTAACGATAATGATTAAGATCATGTAGGGTGAATTCGGGCAAAAATAGACATTTTATTTAAACGATAAAATTGACAGGGGGGAGAAGGTACGGGTCAACATCCAGTTAGGCAATCCTTAACTTCTCCAAATACCACTCTTTGTGAGCCCTGACCTGATGTCCATCTTTCACCTATAACGTAATCGAACATTGCTTGAAGCAGCCACTTCTCGATTTAAGAGAGGAAGCTCCGTTTTTAAGAGTTTGTAGTCCGTTTTGCTCTCGCAGCAATGCTAGTTTCCAATACTTCCGCCGTAAGCTGACTGGATGACGTTGATGCATCTGGTCAATACACACACACACACACACAGACACAGGTGAAACACATCAGGGCAGACAATCAACAGGGGGAACAGGACAGGAAGCAAAACTGAAATGAAACCCACAGAACTAATGGCAAAATAAAACCATCCATCCATCCATCCATTTTCTTCCGCTTTATCCGTTGCCGGGTCGCGGGGGCAGCAGTCTAAGCAGAGACGCCCAGACTTCCCTATCCACACACACCTCCTCCAGCTCGTCCGGGGGGACCCCAAGGCGTTCCCAGGCCAGCTGAGAGACATAGTCTCTCCAGCGTGTCCTGGGTCTTCCCCGGGGCCTCCTCCCGGTGGGACGTGCCCGGAACACCTCCCCAGGAAGGCGTCCAGGAGGCCTCCTGAACAGATGCCCGAGCCACCTCAACTGGTTCCTCTCGACGTGGAGAAGCAGCGGCTCTACTCCGAGCTCCTCCCGTGTGACTGAGCTCCTCACCCTATCTCTAAGGGAGCGCCCAGCCACTCTGCGGAGGAAGCTCATTTCGACCGCTTGTATCCGCGATCTCGTTCTTTCGGTCATTACCCAAAGCTCATGACCATAGGTGATGGAGGGAACAAAGATTGACCGGTAAATCGAGAGCTTCGCCTTTCGGCTCAGCTCCCTCTTTACCACAACGGTCCGATACAGAGACCGCATCGCTGCGCACGCTGCACCGATCCGCCTGTCAATCTCACGCTCCATCCTTCCCTCACTCGTGAACAAGACCCCGAGATACTTGAACTCCTCCACTTGAGGAAGGACCAAAATAAAACCAAATACAGAAATAAAATCCACACCATGACACCAAGTACCTTATCAACCAC